TCACTCTTTTTGTTGGCCAGACAAACTGAGTGAAAGTATTTCTCTTGGGATTAGAAACTATTAACAGTCACATTTACCTCACACACAAAAACTTTGACACACATATACATACCAAGCCAAGGAAAAGAGAACAGAAAAGAAAACAGAACTTTTAGTTCTACACATCCTGGTCATTCCCACCACAAATCTCAGCTAACTCAAATTAGAGAAGGCAAGAATCTTAAACATACCACGTGATTGCACAGAAAGATAGAGAGAAAAAGAGAATCACTACTTCTTATTTTTCTTTTAAGTACCTTTATTTAGCCAATTCCATTTTCCTAACTTTGCTTTGCTTTGCTTACAGGACCTAACCAGCTGGTTACTCAAATCCAATTCTTTCATTCACCCATTCCATTCCATTTGCACACAGCCTTTCCCTTTTCCCTAACAAAAGGTCCTGCGCTCTGGCCAAACCCCCATGCTTTCCAGGGTCTGAACTCCAACAGATCCTTTCTGCGGCTAGGAAAGACCAGAGAAAACAAAATCCAACTGTGATTGGGAAAAGGGTCTTCTCACTCACACAGAGACATACACACATTTCTCTCATTCCCCTTCTTTCTAAAGCAGTCCTTGAGCTTAAACCCAAAACTCCCTTTTCTACCCTGGCTACAGACACAAAGGGTCTGTGCCAGCAAGATGGGCTTATGTTTCCTTTTCCTGTTTGGGGCTACTCAATTTTCTCATCCCCCCCACCATACGAAGCAGCACAAATTTACCATATCTTCTTTTGTTAAATTTAACTTAGTGATCAGCTTGTTGTATGGTGGTTTCCCCCAGTTTTCTAACAATTTTCCTAATGGGCTGTGGGGATCTATTTTTAGTTTTGGATTTTTCCTAACCTTTTTCACACATTCCTTCTCCTGGGACCCTCCCGAATTACCCATGGTTGGTTTACCACACAATTTTGTTGTCCTTACCAATCTAATGAGACCACGGTTCGCTTCACCAAGCATCTTTCTCCTTTTACTCAGGAGTTCCCACACTCCGCCTTGCCAGTCCAAACCCTCGGGACATCCACAGCTTGTGTATGTCTTGCCAGTCCTGTGGACCCTCGGGGCGTCTTACACACACCTCTCATAGATCTCAGACTCAAACTGTGCTACCCAACCACCCCTGACCGCCTAGGTTTTATTCCTTGGTTTACCCCAAGTTTTACTCACCTAGGTTTGTGCACAAAGTTGCCCGGTCCTTGTCCTGGTAATTCTCTGGTCCCCTCTCCTCAGTTCTTACCAATCACTATTTGGTCCGTGGGCCTGGCTCCATTCTGCTTCCTCGACCTGCGACTGCAACTTTGGACCATTGAAATCAATGGGGCATGCCTTCCTCAGTTGACCTCGCCTCCCAAAGATGCAGGAACAGATGCCCAAGGCCCCACGTTTGGGCAGCCAATTTGTTGGAAACGTAATTAAAATATCAACAAAATTGGATTGGTAAGAAAAAGAGTTTATTCTGCAGAAAATAGAAAAGCGGTTTGCAAAGTGCAGTGGATCCTGGTGAGAGACTTCAACAGGAAGTTCTAAACCCAGAGACCACACAAAAATATTCAAACTCACAACATTATATACACTCCTATCGCGACGCCCCTGTCCCCTCCCCTTAGGTCCCATTTGAGAGGACTTCTGGGGGGGCCACAATCTGTCCGATCCGCCTAGCCAGAATACATCATCCCTCCCCCTCAGTTACATTGTTTAGAACTTCTCTCTGCCATCCTTTTGTCTTGTTAAGTGTGTCTTCTAGCCCAGGGCTTTTCAACCAGTGGTACGGGTACCACCTGTGGTACATTGGCACCTGGCAGGTGGTACGCGACCATCCTAGAAAAGTGGTAGTGGGGGAGGGGAATGAGCTGAACCGGTGGCAGCACCCCACAAGCCTGAGCGAGAGATGGCTGGAGCTGCAGGGCTGTCAGGGCTCAGCGGAAGCGCCAGGATCAGTGCCGCTTTTCAGCCGATCGGCGCTTCTTCGGGGCTGTCAGGGCTCAGTGGAAGCGCCAGGATCAGCGCCAGGCTCCAGCTGGAGCTCGGTGCTGATCCTGGTGCTTCTGCTGAGCCCTGAAAAAGCACCAATCAGCTGGAATGTTGCAGCATCTCCAGGGCCTTGTGATTTACATTCAGATGCTTGGCAACTGATTCATATTTATGACGGTCACAGTGTCCCAGGGTCATGTGAAGTGACCAAAACCTGCTGCAACCACCCATCAGACGGGGGGAATAAAAACCAAACAACCCCCCACCCCCTCTGCCAATCCTCAATAGAAATGCTCACAACAATGGAAACCTCGGACAGGAGGAAGAGCACCGCCGGGCGCTGTCTTGCTTGGCTGTGGCTTGGGGGGGCACTTTTTTCAGTGCCATTGTAACTTCAAACAGTCACTAAGAGAACTGTTGTAAATCGAGGACTACCTGTACTTTATCACATTTTTCCTTTTTTTGGTCATCACAATTTTGACACTTTACTAGGTGACTGGTGGTACTCGGATGTTGCCATATCCTAAAAGTGGTACAATGGGTGAAAAGGTTGAAAAGCCCTGTTCTAGCCAAGCCTCCTGAAATCTAGTGCCTACGTGCAGGGCTTGGCTAATCCTTCTATTGTTAGTCAATTGTGACCGTTTTATTTTTAAACTTCTTCCTTTCTCACACCTGGAACACTGTGACCATTATAAATATGAATCAGTTGCCAAGCATCCAAATATAAATCACATGACCCTGGGCATGCTGCAATGGTCATAAGTGTGAAAAATGGTCATAAGTCATTTCAGTGCAATTGCAACTTTGAACAGGTTTTTTTTTTGGTCATCAAGTTTTTGACACCTTGCTAGGTGGTACTCGAATATTGTCATATCCTAAAAGTGGTACAATCGGTAAAAAGGTTGAAAAGCCCTGGGCTAAAGGGTCCCTCTCTTCCAAGAATTGGGGGTGCAGGTACAATCTGCATCAGCTGAGTGAATACACACATGTGTGGAAGGGGGAAAGAGCTAAACCCCCAATCCCGGGTGCGCATTCACACAATCACACCAGGCAAAACAAAAGATTCCAAAACAAAAAGGTTAAGCCACTATGTTCCTTGATGCGTTTCCTGCCACAGAGTAATGCCACTACTTCTCTGCATGTTGCCTTGCAAATTAATTGTCGAGGAACTTGCCTTGCCTCCACTACTCAATTTTACTCAGTCTTTCCCTATAATTTTTAATGTACAGGTAGTCCTCGATTTACAACCATTCATTTAGTGATGGTTCAAAGTTATAAAGGCACTGAAACAAATGACCTATGACCATTTTTCAAACTTAACAACCACTGCAGCATCCCCGTGGTCACGTGATCAAAATTTGGACACTTGGCAACTGACGTATGACCACAATCAAGCCCCAAATTTCTGCTGTTATGCGAGATGTTTGTCAAGGGAGTTTTGCCTCATTTTACGACCTTTCTTGTCACACTTGTTAATCACTGCAGTTGTTCAATTAGTAAGAAAGTTGTGAAGTGAACCTGACTTTAGATGATCAGGGGCCTGGAGACTAAAACATATGAAGAACGGCTACGGGACTTGGGTTTGGCTTGTCTAAAGAAAAGAAATAGGGGAGACATGATAGCAGTGTTCCAGTATCTGAGGGGCTGCCACAAGGTTGTTCACAAGGCTGTCAGGTTGTTCACCAGAGCACCAGAGGGAAGGATGAGAAACAATGGTTGGAAACTGATCAAAGAGAGAAACAACCTGGAATTGAGGAGAAACTTCCTGACAGTGAAGACAACCAACCAGTGGAACAGCTTGCCTTCAGAAATCGTGGGCGCTCCATCACTGGAGATTTTTAAGAGACTGGACATTCACCTGTCTGAGATGGTATAGGACATTCTCCTGCTTGAGAAGACCTTCAAGGTTCAATTCTTATTCTTATTCCCTATTCTTATTCTATTCTATTCTAATTATTCCACGTTGACTTTGCTTGTCAGGTCAAAAAAGGTGACCACGTGATCACCTGGACATTGCAACCATCAGAAATGTGAACCAGTTGCCAAGGATCTGAATTTTGATCCGTGACCCTGAGGATGCTGCAGAGGTCGTAAGTGTGAAAAACGGTGATATGTCACTTTTTTCAGTGCTGTTGTTAACTTCGATCGGTCACTGCGTGTACTGTTGTAAGTCGAGGACTACCTGTATTCCTAGGAACGAAAGACGGAAAAGTCAAGCCTGCCAACAATAACAAAACACAGCCTCGAGTTCACGGGCTCGATTGTTCAGACAAACGGGACGCCCTCCGGGAGGAAAGGAACGAGCTTCCCTTCTCCCGCCGTTGCGGCTTTCCTCCGCCTCTTGCAGAGAGGCTGCCGCCCTGCAGCGCCCTCTAGCGAGTCAAAGCGCAAAGGAAGTGACCGTGCGGCTGCCTGCGCCCCACCATTTGCAGCGCGATCCGAGAGAAAAGCGGAGCTCGGAGAAGGTGGGAGCGGAGACCGGGGTGGGTTGGCGAAGGGGAGGGTTTCTCTGCGCTGCGACGGAGGAGCAGGGAGAGAGGGCTCGATCGCTGCGAGGCGCCCGGCGGGTTCCTGCCGGAAAAGAGGGGGAAAGGCTCGGCCGGAGAGAAAGGGCCGAGTTAAAAATGGGAGGGGGGAGGACTTGAGAATTGGCCGGGGGGGGGGGCTAAAGGACGGCCGGGAGCNGGGGGGGGAGACGAGGGACTTGAGAATTGGCCGGGGGGGGGGGGGCTAAAGGAGGGCCGGGAGCCAGCCTGAAGCAAGAGTGTATTAGGGACCCGAGAGAGAGAGAGAGAATTGACCACTTTGTAGGTCAGGCTCCTCCCTCGCATTATAGGCAACAATTAAACTGGTGAAGGGTGTGTTTTTTTTCCTTCTTCCCTCCAAAGCAGCGGTATCCAACCTCGGCCACTTTTAAGACTTGTGGACTTCAACTCCCAGAGTTCCCCAGCCAGCCATGCTGTCTGGGGAATTCTGGGAATTGAAGTCCACAAGTCTTAAAAGTGGCCGAGGTTAGACACCCCTACTCCAAAGCGAATTGACACAGTACTGTAATGGGAAAGCAGCAGGTGTTGAGTTGTAAAGACTGGCATGCGGGTTTTAACAAGCAGGAAAAAAGGGGCTGAGGTTTTCTGCTTCTCAAGATAATTTGTGATAGTTATGTTTTATCTTTCTGACCAAAATGGAGGAGGGGGGGGAATCTAATGGGAGAAATAAGGACTTTCCATTGAAGTGAAAGCCTAATATGAATAATTCAATGATTGTTTACTAAATTATCCCATTTTGGGGGATCTCCTGTAATTTAATGAATTAATCCCTATTTGGGGATTAATTGAGCTGGTAATTGGTACCAGCTCAATTTATTGACCCCTTCTGCATATTGGAATTGTAATTCTCAGAACTGCAAGCCAGCATAACTAAAGACTGGGTAGGTTGGGGTATGTGATCCCCATATCAAGCTCTTGTTTCTCAAGCTTGGCAACTTTAAGATGCAAGGATTTCAACTCCCAGAATTCCCTAGCCAGCACCCATCAATTTTAAAAAATCTCTCCTGTTCCAAGTAGCCACCTGTACAGTTTTTCAGGTCCAATAAAAGAGTGAGGCCCTTTAGTTATCAGCTTCTTGAAAAAGAAAAGTTTTACCAGGGAGAAACTGAGACAATATGTGGACCAAATATTTATTGGAAGCAGCAACACTCAACTGCTCATCAATAACTGTGACTCTGATGAAATTTCATACTGTTAATTGTGTGGCCTGCTGTTTTTTTGAGACAAGTGTTTTATGCTTTCTGCTTTACAAGTGATTTAAAAATGTCATCTTGTTTTATCATCAGCAAAGGGGGCAATAAAGATAATAAATTTATTTCCCACAACCTGTCTTAGCCTATTTCACTTCAGGCTGTGATCTTTCTATCATCTCTAAGAGTGTGATGGGTCTTAAAAGATATGGATCTTCTTGGGCATGGATCACCAAAAATTTTATCTCCTGTGCAGGACTTGGATATGTTACCTGACGTGCTGAGTGGTCAAAATTATATTGGAACAAGGTGACCGAATATGGGCTACAAAAAATCTGGATGACCAGATGATCTAGTTGGCTGCAAAAAAAAAAAAAAAAAAAAAACCAGCAAGAAATTTAGAGGTCCCTCTAGCCTTGATGCAGCACAACACTGTTTTAATACCTGTTCTTAAAGATAGGCCAAATGATTGAGAAAGATTGGAGAAAATATTAGAGGCCTGATTGACTCACAGCTTTCTCTTTCTCGCCAGGCAAGTTCACAATGATCATCCCTGTACGATGCTTCACTTGTGGCAAAGTTGTGGGGAACAAGTGGGAAGCATACCTGGGCCTCTTGCAGGCCGAATACACAGAAGGGTGAGTTGGGAGAAGGTTTTGTTATTTGCTGGCATGTATCGATGATGTGCTATCAAGTTGGCGTTATCTTAGCAACCACATTGATAGATTTTCTCCAGGAGGACCTGTCCCAGTCTGGTCCCTTCAGGTCTTCCAAAGGTGCATTCATTGCCTATGTAATTGAGTCCATCAACTTTGTTACAGGTAGTCCTCGACTTAGAACAGTTCATTTAGTGACCTTTCAAAGTTGCAACAGCACTAAAAAAAGTGACTTATGACCATTTTTCACACTTACGACCATTGCAGCATCCCCACGGTCACATGATTTACATTCAGATGCTTGACAGCTGATTCACATTTATGATGGTTGCAGTGTCCTGGAGTCATGTAATTCCCCCTTTTGCGATCTTCTGACAAGCAGAGTCATGGGGAGACCAGATTCACTTAACAACCGTGTTATTAATATTAGAACTGTAGTGATTCACTTAATAAAAGTGGCAAAAAAGAGTTGTACAATGAGGCGAAACTCACTTAACAAATTTCTCACTAAACAATGTAAATTTTGGGTTCAATTGTGGTTGTAAGTTGAGGATTACCTGCACTGGTTGCCCTCGTCTCTTTCCACCACCTTTCCCAGTATTAGAACCTTCTCCAGAGAAGTCAGTCTTCACGTGTATCCAAGGTATGATAATTTGAGTCTGGTAAATTGTGTCTTGAGTAAGAACTATTTTTTTTAAATGAACCATTTCTGTGTTTCCTTGGCTTTCCATGGTATTCTCTGGAGTCTTCTCCAATACCAAAGTTCATAAACATCAATACTGTTTCTAACATGCTTCACAGAAGTCCCACTTTGTTTCCATAGGGCAGGGGTACGCAACCTTGGCTCTTTTATAACTCGTGGACTTCAACTCCCAGAATTCCTATGCTGGCTCAGGAATTCTGGGAGTTGAAGTCCACGAGTCATAAAAGAGCCAAGGTTGCCTATCCCTGCCATAGGGCCACAGGAATACTACAGCTTATGCTCTTCCAAACTTTGTAGGTATAGACCAGGGGTTGGCAACCTGAAACTGTGAAAGAGCTACTTGGACCCGTTTCCCTCACAAAAGAAAAAACTAGGAGCCGCAAAATGCACGCATGTAACGGGGCTTGATTAAAGAGTGGAGCCTAAGGCAACACATGCACCGGCCCTGCCCCCGTCCAGCTTCTCTTTCCCTCGGAAAAGACTGCTCTCCCCCCGCCCCGCACTCTCCCTCTTTTGCTGAAGCGGCGAGCAGGAGGCCTGCCTTGGGCACGTCGGGGCTGCTGGAGGCTGAGGCCCCCGAAGGCGCGGACCAGGCTAACTTCCATAGCGATAGGATGGCGACTGCGGGAGCAACAGCCTGCTCATCTCCGGCGCCGGCGGCAACTGCGGAGCCATCTGGTGGCTATTAATCCAGCAACCAGGCAGCGGTTGTCTTGCGATCGGTTGGGCAAAACAGGTGGATAGGATTGCAGCCAACGATAGTAGGACGTTAGAGCCGCCAACTCTGGTCTCCACCCGGGCGGGCGGGCAAGCAAAACCCCGAAACCTTTCTCATTTGTTTGCAAAGAGAAGACGCTGGTGGCGCACGGCCCGGACTGTCAGCGTTGCCGTGGGACCACCCCCTGCGGTGCCAGCTAATGCGGCGTGCTTCTTTGCAAACAAACGTGAAAGGTTTCGGGGTTTCGCTCACCCGCCTGGGTGGAGACCCTGCGCCGCCTCTTCTCCTGCGGTCAGGGAAAGAGGGCTGGCCCGAGCCTGTCCTGGAGGACTTTTTAGGCCCCGGATACCCCCACACCCCCTCCCCCGTCAGCCCAGGCACTGTGGCTTCGCAGCAGGAGGGAACCCTCCGGACCTTTGGTACTCCTGGCAGCGGTGGCGGCAGGAGGATGGCGAAGGGGCGCGGCTGCCCGGTCGCCGCCGCCTCTCCGTCCTCACCCACACAACCGGCAGCGGTGGCGAAGGGAGGCGGCGGCTCCCCAAAAGCGGCCGAGGAAGGCGCCTCCGATGGGGCCGAGGTGGGGCTGGACGGTGGAGAGCCCTGTGGCAGCTGTGGCAGCGGGAGGACAACGAAGGGGCGCGGCTCCCCGGTCGCCACCGCTTCTCCGGCCTTGCTCAGCGCGACCGGCAGGGGCGGCGGCAGGACGGTGAAGGGCGGCAGCGGCTCCCCGAAAGCAACCGAGGAAGGCACTACCGATGGGGCTGAGTGGTGGAGAGCCTCGTGGCAGCGGCGGCAGCGGGAGGACAGTGAAGGGGCGCAGCTTCCCGGTCGCCGCCGCTTCTCCGGCCTTGCTCAGTGCGACCGGCAGCGGCGGCGTGAGGATGGTGAAGGGCAGTGGCGGCAGCGGCTCCCTGAAAGCAGCCGAGGAAGGCGCCACCGATGAGGCCGAGGTGGGGCCGGGTGGCAGAGAGCCCCGCGGCAGCAGCGGCAGCGGGAGGATGGCGAAGGGGTGCGGCTCCCCGGTTGCCGCCGCCTCTCCGGCCTCGCCCAGCATGATGGGCAGAGGCGGCGGCAGCGGGAGGACGGCCAAGAGGCGTCGCACAGCAGGTGGGGAAAGGGCCAGGCAGGCACCGTGGGGGAATCTCTCGAAAGATGCCACGGAGATCCACTGGTCGCGAGACGGCCGAAAGGCGCGGGCGGAGAGGGGAAGCTACCGAGACTCCCGGTTCTTCCTCCGCTGCCACCATGTGCAGTCTGAAGAAGGAAAGTGGTTTGTGGGCAGTCCCACAAACCAAAGAAGTTCAACCAATCAATTCAAACTTCGTGAGAAGTTTGAATTGATTGGTTGAACTTTTTTAGTCACACTTTTTTTTTCAGACTGCACATGGCTGAGGACAGGGAGCTGCAGGAGACGGCTGAAAGAGCCGCATGCGGCTCCGGAGCTGCAGGTTGCCGACCTGTGGTATAGACATATCACAGCATCTGAATATTTATTCTAAGGCCTTCATGGCTACCATGACTGCTTTCTCCGTGGTGTATTTTTTGACTACTGGTTCCTTTAACATTGATAATTGATCCACCACTTAATTAGCTCTATTGTAAGTTGTAAGCTTGGCTGCTGAACCCTTTCCACTAGTTTGGTCTGCATTTGATTTTAGTCCTGAACATACTAGCACATTATGTAAAATGCTATAAGGATTTTGCTTGAATATTGCTAGAATACAAGCGGTACTCATCTTACAACCATAAGTGAGCCCAGAATTATGGTCGTAAGTCATGCTGGTAAAGCGGCTCATGTAACCATTCCTGACTATATTTTTCACGACAGTCTTCAAGTGAATCCACTGTCTGCTATCGGTGGTTTTTTTTTTGCTGGAAAGGGAAGAAAAACACTGCTTTCCAGCAAAAAATGATGTTGTGGTCATGTGACTGTAGAAGGCTGCACATGGTCCTATATGCAGGCCAATTGCCACATGCCCAAAACGTGAGCACGTGGCCACAAGTGGAGAGTAGCTGTCTAAACTTTGAATCTGGGTTATAAGCAGCTCTGGGGAGGTCCATTGTAACTTTGAACAGACACTAAGCAACCGGTCACAAGTTGAGGACTTCCTGTATGGATAACTCTTGGTGGTGTGTATATATATATCCAAGAAAGGTTTCAAGTTCTACACAATCTTATCTAACAAAAAATGTCAAAGCATATAGGAAACAGTGTGCATCCATTAACTCAGCGGTGTCAAACTCACAATGTCATGTGACGTATCACAACTTCTTTGCCACTGCCGGCAATGGGGTGGGCGTGGTTTTGCTATGATGCATCCGGCCAGTGGGCTGGCAGTTTGACACCCCTGCGTTAACTGAATTAACATTAACAAGGTAGCAATAGAGACATTTGCAACCATGCACAGCCTTACACAAAGAAAACAGAGTCACCAAAATTGCCCTGTGCAAAGATGAGATACATAATTTCTTATTTCTCCATTAATTTCCCCAGAGATGCGTTGGATACCCTTGGGCTGAAGCACTACTGCTGTCGTCAGATGCTTCTGTCCCACGTGGATTTGATTGAGAAGCTGCTGAACTATGCGCCCTTAGAGAAGTAGCATTAGTAAATCTGAACCGAGCCCAATGGAAATGGGCTATAAACATTTGCATCCCTTAACTTGTGCTAAAATGGACGCCTCCTACCAGATGGCTAAGTTGGGCAGTAGAAAGAGTCTGGTTCAGTGATATATAATTAAAAAATAATACGATGTACATGAAATTGGTCCGTGCTGTGTTCAGCTCGTCATCGACAGCAGTGCTGTTTTTAAAGAATCTCATGGAGAGGACTTCTTAGTCAGCTCTACTCCGTCCTGTTGTTCCTTTGCCACAATGGGCACCGCCTTTGGCAGAGAGATCAAAAGCTTACCCTTTCTTTTCTTTGCACCTCTCATTGTCTGCTCATAGAGTGAAAGAATAAAGCAAATATAACAACAGAAAATGTTGGGTTGTCCGTTTGGGTTGTCCATTCCGTCTGTGTTACCATCAGCAACGCCTCCTACAGGGTCCAGAGAAATAGCGTGTAGCACTGACGGTAATAAAAGCCACTAATGACCATAAATGGGAGACCTCGTGTGTGATTTGGAGGCTCCTTGACTGTTCAGTAGCAAGTGCCTAAATGCGGGCAGTCCTCGACTTACGACGACGATTGAGCTAAAATTTCTGCTGTGAGACATTTGTTAAGTGGGTTTTACCTCATTTGACAACCTTTGCCACAGTTGTTAAATGAATCAGTGCAGTCGCTTGTAACGTGGTTGGTAAATGAATCTGGCTTCCCCATTGACTTTGCTTGTCCGAAGGTCGCAAATGGTGATTGCGTGACCCCGGACACTGCAACCGTCATAAATACGAGTCAGTTGCCAAGTGTCCAAATTTTGATCATGTGACCACGGGGATGCTGCAAGGGTGACAAGTGTGGTAAAACCATAAGTCACTTTTTTTGGTGCCGTTGTAACTTTGAACGGTTGCTAAATAAACTGTTGTAAGCCGAGGACTACCCGTACAACTGCTCTCAAAAGGGCCACCTGCATATAAATAGCAGAATTTCTTGCTGTACCTGGGTATAAATCCAAATCAGGCAGCCAGAAACATTGGGGGGGGGGGGAAGAGAAATGAGGAAAAGATGCATAAAACTAAAGGGACGTATCTTTCCTTTAATGCTTTCCAAATGGGCTGCTGTAGGTGACAACACACATTCTGCAAGAGTGGAAGGATTATTCTCGAGCACGTCTTGAAATAAACAGCTGTGAACGATGCAGTTGTTTTCAAATGTATGCACAGAAATTGGGACAAAATGCCAGCTTGTAGCAATAGCCTTCCTTTCTGAGTACAACCATAATTGACTCTGCAATTACAGGTAGTCCTCGACTTAAACAGTTCATTTAATGGCCATTCTAAGTTACAACAGCACTGAAAAAAGTGACGTTTTTCACACTTGTGACCGTTGCATCCCCATGGTCACGTGACCAAAATTCAGACACTTGGCAACTGACTCCTATTTATGACGGTAGCAATATCCTGGGGTCATGTGACCCCCTTTGGCAACCTTCTGACAAGCAAAGTCAATGGGGAAGCCAGTGTCACTTAACCACTTAACTGTGGCAAGAAAGGTCATAAAATTGGGCAAATTCACTTAGCAACAAAAATTAGCAAGTGTTTCACTTAGCAACAAAAAATTTGGACTCAATTGTGGTTGTAAGTTGAGATTCTAAAGCGGGTCATGTTACTAGACCCAATTTTATGACTGTTTAGCAGTGGGTTGTAAAGCAAGTGCTGGGGTTGTTAAGCAAACCCATTGTTTCTTATGGGGCGATTTTTATCAGAAACCAGAAGCAAACACTGGTTTCCTGTAAAAATGTCACAAATTGTGATCGCATGACTGGAAGTGCTGCAAACAGCCATAAATATGGGCCAATTACCAAGTGCCCAAAATGCAGTAATGTTCCTGGGGAAGGGGGCGGACATTGGAACTAGGTCATAAGTAACTTTTGAGGGAGGGGTCCGTCATAACTTCAAACAGTCCTTAAGTGGTGTTGTAAATCGAAGATTATCTCTGGAAGCCCCAAGACTGATTCCCTGCTGCAATCCAAGTAGCGGAAACTTGTTTCCATACCCAATCAATACTTTAATTTTGCTTTTGTTGAATCAACAGTAAAATATTAGCATCTTAGTAATGACAGTTTCCTTTAATATAACTCTCATTAGCCATGTTTTACAATAAAAGGAATCGATGATCTAAATCAAGGATGGATAATCTTTGAAAAACTGTCAGCCACAACTCAGCTTCCTAATTTTCGGAAGGATCACAGAAAGCTGGCTGATAATGCTTGGATGCCCCCAGGAGCATTTTTACTTCACATTTGGCCACTGGGTTTGGGGATGCTACTGTTCTGTCCCCCGTCCGACTCACACACCCCAACCAGTCAGCCGAGGGCTGAAAAACTGCTCAGCACAGCCAAATACAGATGAACACTTGGCAGCAACTCCGTGGCTGCCTGCCAAGGCTTTTAGTGATAACACACTACAAACATACGATAAGTCCAGGATAAATTGCCGGAGTGCTGCAGCAGGAGATTCAGCAAAATTGTTCGTCACAAAAGTTTCAAACGGCACACCCCTTGCTTATATAGCCTGTGGGGTGTGGCCCAGTGACTCAGCTGAAATCTCTGGCACGGTGTTTCAGCTGCTGCGCACGCTTGTCCCTCCAACGCTGGCATGGATCCAGCCAAGACGTATCCTCCTCGGAGTCCGATACACCTGGCTCCTGGCCGATCCCAGAAGCACCTGGCTCCTGGCCAATCCCAGAAGCACCGGGCTCCTGGCCAATCTCCTCTCCGTCGGAAGGCACCGAAGGCCGCACCAGAGGGGAAGGTCCTGGAGAGGGAGGACTGGCCATCTCCTCTCCGTCATGTTCAGAGCCTTCCTCCTCTGATGAGAGGGACCCACAGGACGGAGCCACAACAGCTACTTCTAAAGCCACCCAAACCCCCATAAAATGGGCTTTGAAGTCAAACTTTCAAAATGAAGTGTCAGAACCTTGGGGTCCTGGGAAGCCTCCAATTGGATGTTGGAGATGCACAGATCCTAGGGGCCAACTCCCCTGATTTATAGGAAGGTAACACATTTATTGAAGTCATTGTTCAAAAAAGTGACTTTCCAAGGAAAGCAAATTCATTGCATAACGTAGCTGTGGCAAGTTCAAGCCATTTATCATTCACAAGAATCAAATAGGAAAAACAACATTTCATAATTTTACTCATGTAGTTTTCTTTTGAGACTGAGAAACACCATTTTGCAATTTTTCTGAGTAACCTTACAAACTTTACATTGCCTAAGCTAGCTCCATCTTAAACTGGCTGTGAATGATTGTTGACAGTAAGATCAGGGGCACATATATGCCTTCTCATTTTTCCTATGAAAATTTAAATGTGACTGTTGCTTAACTTCAAATGATTTTGGTGCCATAATTCCAGAGGAAAAGTTCACTCTTCCTTTATTCAAATTTTGTAACAAGGTTACTGGTTGAACCATTCAGTCAGCCTTCCCTCTGTATTTGGCAATCTCCATTGCTAGCATCAAAACTATCTTAATTCCTGGATCCCATAGAGAAGTTCCCTCCCATCACTCATTTCCCTGATTCTTTCACTTCTGAGATTCCAGGGCACCAATCTGCAATATTCTGTAAGCAAGAATATGCTCTCCTATTCCATTATTCACACAAGTCAGTCATACACTGACACTAAATTATAATTGTGATTCAGCTTTAAAAAAAATTCACTTTATTCGACTTCCGGTTCCGGATTGTGGTGCTCGCAGCTGCATGAGGAGACTGCTCTCCTCACCAGCTGATTCTCCGCTGCCGGTAGACCCCTTAATTGGGTCGAAAAGCCGCCTTGGAGGAGTGGCTACCGGTGAGGAGGTCCTCGTTGTCCTTGGGAGAGTGGCAGCTTCTTCCAGGGACCAAGATTTGCTCCTTTGGGCCGACGGTGGAAAGAACGGCCGGTAAAATGGCCGTTCACCTAGCCGCTGAAACCAGAAGTCAGAACATCTAAGCACAGGAACCACCGTGGCTGAGCCGGGTGAGACTTTTTACCTTCCCTCTCTTGATTTTTCCTTTTTTTTTTGTGCCTGTAAAAAGCACTTTTGAAATTACTTCCCTGCTCTAAGAAGGCGGCGTTGGTGAGTGTGGGAAAAAGAAGCTTATGGATTGAATTAATTTAAAGTGACTTTTTTTTTTACCTCTATTTTTATTCTTTTTTTTTTTTCACTTTGGGGTCTTGGAAAACCTTTTAATATTGAATCTGCTATTGGACTTGAATTGCTTTTTTTTCCTCCGTGTTTCCTGATCTTGTTTATGAGATTCTTGGTCTATGGGAGAAGATTTTACATTGTACTGAGGACACCTTGTGGGAAAAGCTAAAATTGCAGCTTTCCCTTTTTTCTGGTGACTCAGATTGACCTTGACTTTCAGATTACCACAAAAGGAAAAATACAAAGAAAATTAACAGCTGTACTGGTGGGGGTGGACATTTGATTAAATATTTTCTACATAGCCTCTACTAAATGATACAGACTGTTTCTAATTATTTTTGAAATGGAGCAACCCTTGGTTCAACTTGACTATAAACTTATACTGGAAAAACTTTACGAAGCTACTGATGAAATACGTTTGCAAATAAAAGAATTTACTATGGAAATAAAAAACAGAAATTCTGCTTTGAATCAACAA